TACCCGGCTAAACATACACCCGTGATCGATTCGAGACAAAAAGCTGCTCCGATACTTTCGTATCGGGCAGCTAATTTAAAGTAACAACTTCGGATGGGTGGCTACTTCAGATGTCATACCGTATAAGCGCGTAATAACGCACATGGGCGTTATTCCGAAATTTCAATTTTCTTAAAAATAGCATATTTAACTCAAAATAACGCCCATGCACGTCTCAAAATAACGCGCCCCATATGTACCAGGTTATCTTTCACGTGCTCTTTTGAATCTTCGAATAAATTTGAATGAGCTTAGATTCAGCCTCTAAATCTGAAACCTATTTATTATCATATGATTAAATGTGATTAACAATATATCTAGAGTTTATTCGCCTTATGTTGTCTTTATCTCAAAAATACCAAGTATCTCTTTCTAATTCTATTATGATGTCTCAAGAAAGTTCTTAGTAGTTGAAATTTTTTTTTTCAAAACTAGCATAGTGATTCGAATTATCGCGCATGCGCGTCCCGAAATAACGCGCAGGGACTCGAAATAACGCACCCATACGCGCTTATACGGTATTATTAAAATTCTGTAACCTGATTGGCTTTTAAATAAATACTTGATTTTTATTAAAAATTAAATGTTTTGAAGCATTTAAAACATGTTTTAAAACATTTACCAGTTAAGTATAGCAATATGGTAAGTGTTAACCCTTGGAAAACTTTTCATAAATATTCGCTTCATTATAAAGAAAGTTGATGTAATTAAGAAAATTTGAATCCGAATTAGTGGACTGGAATACCCCGCCTTTATAGTAAGCTTAAATTTTATATCAGTTCAGTATGGGTATGGTAAGTATTAACCCTCAGAAAAACTTGTTTCCAAAATACCCACATCGTTATAAAGAAAGTTGACGAAATTAAAAAGAAAAATTTAATTCGAATGTATCACCTTTATTAGAAACTATTATTTGAATATTCAATTTTGCTTTATTATAATCAATTGAAACTAGCTTCATAGCATCACTTTTTTTTTAGTTAATCTTTAGTATAGGTGACATATAGAATTAATATAAAATTATATTATATTAAAATAGCTGTTTTAACCTAATTTAAGCAAATTTATAAAATATATAGTTAGGGTTAGGGTGAGGGTCATAGTTTATATTAGCTCAAAATATATTATAATTTTATAATAATTCTATATTGCTCACCTATACTAAAGAATATCCCACATATAAATAAAAATGCCAATCGCAATGATTAGATTCTTCAGAGATCGAGTCCGATAGATGAAAAGCAGTGAATCAATTTACAAGTTTTCACGTTCCGTCATTCATGTCGATATCATATATACTTGAACTTTATAAAACCTTTTTAAATTATATTTAAATTATACAAACCCTATGTAGATTTACATAGCTATTTATATAAATTATATAAAATTGCAAAATTTTTAACTTAAATATTGAGGCTAGAATTAGATTATAAAGTTTAAATTGGGACTTGAGAAAGATTTTCAGCATGCTGAACATTTTTGCTTACCTTAGTCACTCTTGAAAATAGTTAAATTAAATTATTATATATATTTATAAAAATAATAACAAATAAAAACATAAATATCATATTAATTATAAATAAAAATTCTAACTCATAAACCTGCGTTTATACAGCATTATAGAGCTACATAAATTTTACCTATAAAAAATGATGTACGTACGTACGTTATATGCAATTTTAGATTTCTGAAATATATTTATAACCAAGAGAAGTGTCATTTATCATCTTATTTTTTAGCAGGGGAGTGGGTGCCAAAATATCATGCTAATATATCACATGTACCGGTATATATGTCTATAATCATTTGAGGAAGGGGGATTTACTATTTGCGGACCCTTCCCTAAGTCATATGGGTTGTTGCATAGCAAAACCATGCTTAGAGTATATATATATTGTATGTTCTAAGCATGGTTTTGCTGTGCGACAACCCATATGTTAAAAAACAATATTGACGCAGACCTATTCATGTCTCTAGCTACTGCTCAATTGCGCTTTATTTATAAACCGGTTTGATGTACTATTTATATAGAACGTAGCTAAGCGTTGTCATAAGTTTGTAAAACCGTATTAGACCAGAAATTCAATTAAATTTGGTACGTACGAATCTACAGTACAGCAGTAGGTTTGACGATAATAAATTTGCCGCCACAATCCGTGCGAATAATCCAATTCCTCTACATTACTGGTTTTCTTATTTCGAAGTTAAAAAGAAAGAAAATTACTAATATTAGAAAATTACTATATATTACAGTATTAACAGCCAACAATCTTTAAATGCAGGTTATATATTTTATCACTTTAAAACAACCTTTTCTAATTCAAAGTATATAGGCATGTGATTTATTTATTTAAGCACATTAACTCTTTAAATGCAATTTTTAATTTCTTCACTAACAGTTCGGCTGAGATGCATTCGTAGGAAGCTGACTGTATTTTCTTTTTCGACAATATTTATTTTGATGCTTGCACCGATCTCGCCTTTTTTATTTCGATAACTATTCTTCCAGGTGTCATAAAAGCCAATCTCCTTCTTCAAGCATCATTTCTTGCAGCCTTTTGTTCAGCTGTATAAATAAATTCTTTTACGGTTTTACATTGATACAATAAATCATTAACTACTTTTGTTAATCGTCTGTTTTGTTAGAATTTTTATTGATCGAATTTCTGATCAATTAAATTTTACAGGGGATACGATTGTTCAAATCAATCCCATTACAGGGGCAGGGTCTGACATCACCTGAATTTAGTAGACGATAAATTTACATTCCGCTTCCTCCAATAATTTAAATGTTATTGCTATAAAATCCTTAATGAATCCTAGAGTTCTAAATAAATTTGGAGTTCCATCATCTTTATAATGGACCAACCAACAAAATCATAGAATAATCACCTATTTAATCCAAGTTATTTCGAACAACGTATTCGTATTTTTCTTCATTCCTTGTTTCGCACGATCTTTGGCAAATTGTGCATTCATTCTGAAACTTTCAATAGGACTTCCACAATGAATTCCACATACTATATTAATTGTTCTAAATACTAACTACATATCTCGTGGTGGAGATTCCAAAAAATTGAAATCATTCCATTTTATATTTCTCAATTGACCTTGAATTATAACACATTCTTTAGGAGACATCATCAAGAGGTGTGCATAATCAAGTATACATTGCATATTTATTGATCTGATTATTTCAAATAGATCACGCTTGTCTTTTAAGTTCATGTACGTACGTATTTCTAAGTCTGACAATTATTGATGCATTCCGTGTTTATAGCCAATTTTTCGTGATTCTGTAGCATTCCTGAAATGCAAAAAAAATCTTCATTCTAACTTGGGTCCTATACGTTGGTTACACAATACAAATCCTGTGGAACTAAAACGTTCATGCGCAACAAAATGAAGATTAAATGTTGTGCCACGACGCATTGTATATGCACTTATTCTTGATCAAGATCAAGGTTCATCATGGCAAATACTTCAAAGGAATGGCTCGAAAAAGCTATTTCTGAAGAACATATCAATTATCATGAATATAATAAGTTTACTAACCCTGTGAAGATTGGTGAGGGAGGTTTTGGAGAGGTCATTAAATGTGAATGGCCAGATTGCGTATTCATAGTTGTTCTTAAACGTCTTAAAGTCACAGACGAAAAGGAATTTATTCATGAGGTATTATTTTATATTAATATGCTTTTAATATATAGATTTATATATCAAATTTTATAGCTCACATATAAAAGCTTAAACTATTACGAAAAGTTTGCACCTATGAAAATATTATTACGTTCCACGGAATCACAAAAGGTATGCTATACGCACGGTTTATAATTCCTGAGAGTTGAAATTAAATATATAAATAAGAATATTTATTATAAATAAACAGATGATGATGGATATTATAATTTGGTTTTACAACATGCTGATGAAGGAAATTTACGAGAATACCTGAAAACAAATTTTGAGAAACTACAATGGATAGATAAATTACGTATTGCTAAAGAAATAGCACATGGTCTTTTGTTCCTACATGAGAATGATATTATTCACAGGGACCTTGTAAGTATATTATATTTTAATAGATTTTATATTTATCAATTCACTAATACTCTAATAATTTAGCATTCGAAGAATATCTTAATTCATCAAGGAAAACCACAAATTGCAGATTTTGGACTATCAAAGCAGATAAAAAATGAAGCATCTAAGACTTCAACTTCATGTTTGGATGGAATGCTCGAATATGTTGATCCTAAATGCTTTGATCATGAATCTGAAGAAGAATATAAACGTGACAAGAAATCTGATGTTTATAGCTTTGGTGTAATCCTTTGGGAAATTTCAAGCGGAAGGCCTCCATTCCAAAATGTAAAATTATCTAAAATTGCCCTCTGTATTCGTATATGCAAAGGAAAAAGAGAAGAACCAATAGAAGAAACACCATCTCAATATATTGAACTTTACAAAAAATGTTGGGATGGTGATCCTACTAATCGTCCGGAAACAAAATCAACTCTCAATACTTTAAACCAACTTCTTCAAAATGCCGAGAAAGATATAAAACAATTAAAGGAGGTGCAACTAAATGACCTGAAAAAGAGTCGAGGAGAAATGTTAGCTCAAATAGGTGTAGGTAATTTAAAAAATCGATACTTAGAAGATTTGAATGAAACTCATGAATTTAAAGAAGCCTTAGAGCTATACGTTAGGCCGCGGGGAACATGGAATGTATCAATTATTAAAACATTAAGTAATAAAGAGGAAATGGATTACGAAGCAAGAGAAGGTGATATAGAAGAAGTAGTTAATGGTTTTTTGACCTCAAGGAATGAACTCACTTCGAATGACAAGAATATTCTGGAGAAAGCAGCTGAAGAATTTTTGATTTCAAAAGAAAAAACATCGCTAATTCGAACAGTTAATGGATTTTTTGTACCGGAAAATCAATTAACTTTGGAGGATATAAATACTTTGAATGTGGCAGTTAATCAGTTTTTGGCCTTAAGGGATGAGAAGGCTTTAAAGCTCCTGAAGATAGCAATGAATGAATTCTTAGAGTGGTTGAAATATAATATAGGTGAGGTTAACTTTAAATAATTTGTTTATTTGCTAAGGTGTCAACTAAATTATATTTAATTCTTTAGAATCATCAAAAGAAGAAAAAATATTGAAGAATATAATCTGTAATTTTTTGGAAAGCCCATTTGTATTGGAGAATAAATTGCCCTTGGGAAGTAAACTAGCATTAGGAAATCAAATAACTACAGAGGACGTGAAAAGTTTGAAAGAAGCCTCAAAAAAAGGCAGAGAATCTTTTGAAGAAATTTCCAATAAACTTTTGGCTTTAAAAGCTAAGGAAGTTTTGGAAACAGCAGTAAACGACCTCCTAATCCGGAAACGTAAAAAAGTACTGTTAATATTAGGTAGTGGAGGCACGGGTAAATCAACGTTTAATCGCTATCTTGCTCGTCGTCTATGGGAAGAATATGAACAGCATAGCATTATGCAACCTATTCCTTTATTTATTGCATTGGCGCCACTAGGAGAGTTTATAAATCAAAATAAAGACTTGATTGAAGTCTATTTACAGAAAGAGGGAATATCCCTAGAACAAATTAATGATTTGCGAAAAAGGAAGTTTGTATTTATTTTAGATGGTTATGATGAGATCGCTGAACGTGAACGTCATTGCTATAACAGCAATATGTTTTCTAAATGGAAAAATGCAAAAATTATCATCAGTTGTCGACCAGAGTATTTAGGTGAAGGCTACGAGAAAAGATTCTGGCCTAAAGAAAACGAAGAAAGAGGGTTCCAAGAACTGACAATTACACCATTTTCTGGAGTTGAAATAGAACAATATATCAATAATTATGTTAATTATTCCCAGAAAAAAGGCAACCCATTAACGTGGGACGCAGAAACATATGTACAGCAAATAAAAAATATGCCGCAAGTAGAAGATCTTGTGTGCAATCCTATTCTATTAAAAATTACTTTGACTGTCTTACCAGGCCTTCTCGGAGGGGGAGGAATAATAACATCTCAGATAAATCGTATAGTTTTGTATGACGAATTTATTAAAAAATGGTTTGAACGTGCTCAAGAACGCTTGACAAAAATTCAATTAAAACCTGAAGAACAAAGAGTATTTGATTACTTAAATGAAGAAAATTTTTCTAGACATTGTCTGCTATTTGGTAAAGAATTTGCTGTAAAGATGTTTGTTGACAATAACAAAATAGTTATTAACTATGATCCCTTAAGCGAGGAGACCGCATCCGATTGGTCAAAGCATTTAGGAAATAGAGATGAGAAGAATCGTTTGATGCGTTTTAGTATGCCATTAATTAGACGTGGAAATCAATATTGGTTCTTCCATAAATCATTACGAGATTACTTGATTGCCTGTGCATTGTTGGATTCGTTTAAAGATAAGCCATGTGAAACTTCCTTCAACAAGCAGTCAATCATTCCAGAACCTGCAATTCAACAATTTTTGGTCGAACGAGTTCAACAAAAGCCAGAATACAAACAACCAATGTTAAATTTTATTGAATGTTCGAAAAAGGATGAAACCGTTCAAATTGCTTCTGCTAATGCTATTACAGTTTTGTTACGTGCCAAAATACCACTTCCGATAAATTTAAACAATATTCGTATCCCAGGAGCGGATTTGAACAGTGGAGTTTTTAACAAATCACAACTTGTAAGAGCTGATTTAAGTAATGTGAATTTTCAAAATGCAAAGCTTCGAAGTGCGAATCTCGAAGGAGCATCTCTTCAAGATGCAAATCTCAAAGGTGCAGATCTCACAGGAGCAAATCTTCGACATTCAAATCTTCAAGGTGTAAATTTGCATGACTCTTATCTCAAAAATGTAAACCTTGAAGGAGTAAACCTCCGAGTTCAGGATTTCCGAGGGTTTGACCTCAGAAATACAGACTTCTGTGGTATATATTTCTAAGACAATTACAGTCTTTCTATAGCGTTTAAATTATTGCAAAAAAAAAAAAAAAAGCGTCATCGATAGGAATTAGACATTTTTCAAGATGACTATTAGTTATAACATTAGATATTTTTATTATTGTATCATTCCGGAACTAAACAACCCCTCGAAACCAAACTCCATCACATTTTGTATAATAATCAAAAATAAACAACGCGGTAAATTTAGGGATTGGAACAGCCAAAAATTATTCTGGCGTTGCCTGGTTATGAGTTACACGGTTAATCATATAATCGTTTAATAATTTGGTTGTTTAACCGTTTATTAATCGTTTAACTGGTTAGCCGTTTATTAATCGTCATAATCGTTTAACCGTTTAGTCGTTTAACCATTTATTAATCATAAATAACTCATATATCAATAATTGTCAAGACATCCAGTATTAGCAACACCAAAAATTTGCGTTACATATTATTTATATTGCATTAGGGAGAGGGACTATTGTTTATGTCTCTATAATATCACCAGTAAAAGAAACCAACGTAATTGAAAATTATAGAACCTTGACTGCATACTCTGGGTCATTTAACACTGATATCTAAAAACTGGTATACTAAGTCTTCGCTCTTGGTATTTTTTGACGAAGATCGTGAGGTTTTAAAACGCTGTAAATGTGCAAATAGCATTGGACTTACTTGCGCCTTCCACTTCAACATATAGTTATTACGAATGCTTAAATCGAAGATCAGTGTATACTGTACACATATCTGATATTCGCGTACGTACCACAAAACTTCTCATTAGCATTCAACATATAAATATGTAAATTGTATGTACGTACGAATTTCGCAAAAGTGTTAAGACGCTGACATCTATAACTTTAACTGTTCTTGGAATATTGGATTATGTAGAACTACGGTGCTTCGCTATAGCACCTCTGGGAACTTTCAAGATGACTGCTAATCTAGTTATTTAAACCAATGATGATTATTGGTCTATATTTAAGGATAAGGAAGGGCTTGTAGAGATGTGCCATTTAAGTACTTACAAAAATGTTAGGGTAACGATCCTATTAATTATCCGGAACAAAGTTAATCCTCAGTACTTTAAAATTACATAACGCCCAGGGGTAAATTTACGAAATTTGGCCTAAATTAAGCTTAATTCGGGCCAAAACTCAAAATAACGCGAATTTACGATATTAATGAAACTTTGAGTCGACACCATTCTACGTCTTATTAAAATATATACAAGTTATAGGGTTTATGAAGCTTTGTTTTT